GCAGGTAGTCTGTATGATGGCTGATTACCTCTATGAAAAACGCAGGACTCTATATGATCAAACGAATCGTTGTGAATTGGAGTTTAATGTTTGTGTTCATGCTGGAACCAAGTGATTACATTACTAGGTACAGGGACTCTGTGATAGCTTGATCATATAGCAGATAATGAGGAGAGATTGACCATTAAAATGGCATTTAGCTCGGCAAATTACCAAAATAATCCGCTTTTATATGAAGCTTTTTACAACCCTGGCCATCTAGTACTTCAGACAGAAAAACAATTCAGTATTCATTGTGGACTTTTTTCCCCACATATTCCGATAAATTGTATAGAAAAGTGACAAATTGAAACGTATATAGCTTCAAAGGACAATTTCTCTGAATTCAAGCTTGAAATTGAATTCATCTTTTTTTATTTTAGTGAATGATTGACATTAATTTGATGTGTTATTTCAATGCATTTAGATACATTTACAAGTAACACAGGAAAAGTGATTGAAAATAAATATGCTTTCAAAGCATGATTCAATTCCAAAAGTTCATCTGTTCTTATTTAAAATGCACGATGTTCATTGTTGCTTGTAATCAAAATGGCACAATGTATTACTGAAATTAAGATACTGTTTAAATCAGAAAGACCTTTGAAGTCACACAGCTTACAACTCTATTATATGTTACATAATACAAACCACCCACAGATATAATGATTCATCTCAAAATGAACCTACTGCAAGATTTCTATCAATGGAAATAATCAGATTTTGGTCACTGAAAATTAATCTCAATGTGAATGTACTTAGAAGCCTTGAGACGATTAATAATATCTTCTTCATTGAAACAATATAACAAGAGTTGATCTAGAAATGCTTTATTATGATATGATTTATGTAAAATAACTGTTATATCAATGCATAGTGGCTGTTCAATTCCCCCAAAATAGATGTACGCAGGTGATTTTTAATCAGAAATTGTATTTTATATTGGGTATTTTAATTTATAGTTGATACTATATCTCTCATTATCAACCTCAGAAGTATATATAACAGACTCGAAATTAATTATTTCATAGATATGACGTATATGATACAGATTTATCACTGTAGGGGATTTCTGATCGTTTTTTCGAAGTTTTGTTAATTTTGTTTTACTGTATAAAGCCGTGCACGTGATAACCCACTATATTGATTGTTACATGCTACAGTGTAGAATTCTATCATTGTCGGGGATATTTTTGTGTAGTACAGATTAATGTTTTATTTGTTTACAATATCTTTTTATTTATTTTTTGTAATTAATCTGTATATTGAAACACAATGAAGTGATATAGCAAAGAAATGTGAGAGAAAAAAGAAAATGAAAAATGAAATGAAAGGTTGGTGGAGTTTGGTTGGCACCTGAGATGTGTTACATGTATGATATACAGTGTTCCATGATCAATACCCACCACCATTTATCTGGTACAAATCAAGTGTCGGTGGGACAGAAATCCTTTGATTTATGACCCCTTAACATGAAACATTGCATTATCTAAGTGCAGTTTGCTGCACAGTCTTCTCTGGACTGAAGGCATGTAGGAGTCAATAGGTACGCCAATCATCTACCTGTTACATACAGTGTCAAAACAGGTCATCTAATGGACACAGATTAGGTACCCCAATCTTATACCTGTTACATACAGTGTCAAAAAGGTCACCCAATGGACGCTGATTAGGTACCCTAATCTTATACCTGTTACATACAATGTCAAAAAGGTCACCCGATGGACGCTGATCAGGTACCCTAATCTTATACCTGTTACATACAGTGTCAAAAAGGTCACCCAATGGACACTGATTAGGTACCCTAATCTTATACCTGTTACATACAATGTCAAAAAGGTCACCCAATGGACACTGATTAGGTACCCTAATCTTATACCTGTTACATACAATGTCAAAAAGGTCACCCAATGGACGCTGATCAGGTACCCTAATCTTATACCTGTTACATACAGTGTCAAAAAGGTCACCCAATGGACACTGATTAGGTACCCTAATCTTATACCTGTTACATACAGTGTCAAAAAGGTCACCCAATGGACGCTGATCAGGTACCCTAATCTTATACCTGTTACATACAGTGTCATGTCAAAAAGGTCACCCAAAGGTACCCTAATCTTATACCTGTTACATACAATGTCAAAAAGGTGGACACTGATCTATACCTGTTACATACAATGTCAAAAAGGTCACCCAATGGACACTGACCCTAATCTTATACCTGTTACATACAATGTCAAAAAGGTCACCCAATGGACACTGATCAGGTACCCTAATCTTATACCTGTTACATACAATGTCAAAAAGGTCACCCAATGGACATTAGGTACCCTAATCTTATACCTGTTACATACAATGTCAAAAAGGTCACCCAATGGACACTGATCAGGTACCCTAATCTTATACCTGTTACATACAATGTCAAAAAGGTCACCCAATGGACACTGATTAGGTACCCTAATCTTATACCTGTTACATACAATGTCAAAAAGGTCACCCAATGGACGCTGATCAGGTACCCTAATCTTATACCTGTTACATACAGTGTCAAAAAGGTCACCCAATGGACGCTGATCAGGTACCCTAATCTTATACCTGTTACATACAGTGTCAAAAAGGTCACCCAATGGACGCTGATCAGGTACCCTAATCTTATACCTGTTACATACAATGTCAAAAAGGTCACCCAATGGACACTGATTAGGTACCCTAATCTTATACCTGTTACATACAATGTCAAAAAGGTCACCCAATGGACGCTGATCAGGTACCCTAATCTTATACCTGTTACATACAGTGTCAAAAAGGTCACCCAATGGACACTGATTAGGTACCCTAATCTTATACCTGTTACATACAGTGTCAAAAAGGTCACCCAATGGACGCTGATCAGGTACCCTAATCTTATACCTGTTACATACAGTGTCAAAAAGGTCACCCAATGGACAATGATTAGGTACCCCCATCATATGAATGTTACATGCAATATTTACAAAAAAAAAAAAACAAAGAAGGGACCCGTACAAGTATAACCTTCGTTGATTACAAGAATTGAAGTCTTTGAATATTGGAAATATTTTTGTTATCATCTTTAGTAACAGAAGACCATGATGAAATAAACTAATTGCTGTAATTTGCTATCATTACAAACATTTTCCAATTTAATTATATTTTACAACAAATCTTAAATGATATTGATATAACATATAATGTGTTAGGTTGTTAAAAAAGTACAAGATGCTGTTGAATGCTGCTGAGAACATTCTCATCAAGGGTTTAATTAGTGAACCAATGGATATAGAAAAAGGAAGAAAATTCATTATGAAATTTACATGGTTGACAAGAATAAATGATGTTACGACTATTCAAAGTTTGGTCATTTTCATTTCTTGGGTAAACCACTGATAGTTTAAGAAATAATAAAAAAAATTTGCAACATCTGTGCCTACAGCCATGACATCACTTTCAAGAATAACAACTATCAGAAGGAAAATCACATTTTTGTCCGGTGCAGATTGATAAAATTCAGCTACTGGTATCAAAACAGCACATCAACAGATCTGTATTTATATCAGATATTTTAAGATAATGCAGTTGTCTTTAAAGTAAAGTGTAGTGTGTGTGTTTGTGATAAATAGATTCTTCAACACTTTTCTCCATGTAATATAGAACTATTTGACACACTTTAAATAATTTCATATGCTGCCTGACTTAAGGTTAGTAAAATGGTATCAAATTATTGAACTCATTCAAGATCCTCCATGTGTGTGATTAATTTTATAAAACAAAATCTATGGTTATTGGGTAGCAGAGGAATGATATGTGTTCCTATCAACACACAGGGAATCTAAGAAATCTGAGTATGATCATTAATTGTTGTAACAATCAATGAATTTCATTCCCTCTCTCTATGCTAGATTGCCTTCGCCATGCTCCCCTAGTCACTTTATTGAAGCCATAAATTGAGACAGAATGATGATGGTCTCAAGGATGCATAACTATTTAGAGTTGTTGAGGAGGATTCCCTCAGACTTATGAACCTAGAGCACATATATCATAATACTTATGGGAAATAACGATTGTCCACAAAATTTCTTGAAAATTTATGTTCCAAGTACAGCAATAAAAGAGAGGTCTTCATTTACCGGAAAATGTGTGTTTATTTCAATGGACAAAATAGCCCACGTATATCATTTTTGCTGAAATGGGAAATTGGTGAAATAATTCCAATATTAGTAGATCATATATCAAGCTAGAGAGGGACACCCTTGTAACTGTTTACTGGAGCGAGTTAATAAAGGTATTGGTCGCTTGAATGAATTTCCAAGATTAATGGTATAACTATATTTATTACTGGCAAGAATATCATTCATATCCTAATTGTACTTTTATTAGAACACTCTTTGTTATCTATTGTGAAGAGTAGATATGAAATTAAATCATTTAAAAAAATTTGAGTCAGCTACACATGCACATTTCAAGTTAGAGTTATCTCCCTTAATTATTACATCTGGGGATTTGTGACTTGAAGACTGTCATCAATACTGGTAAAAGGACTTTTTAGCAATTAAGATAAACTCATGTACAAATAGGAATGTATTTCTAAATAAAAGTCAAAATCACACAAGGGAACATTCCTCAATAAAAACATGCCTAACTTATGGTATAAAGTTATGAGGAATCTTTTACAGTGTACAGGATCCAATAGTTATATATCTGTGTCATAATGTATGATGACAAAGGACATTCAAAGTACATAAGAATGGTATTTATGAAATCATAGTCAACTGCCCAACCACTATGGGTTTCTACTTGTAATTTAGTTTAATTCCACATTTAGACCCCCTGCATGCTTCGATTCCAGTTTGGAGATATACTTGAAGATGATTTAGCTTCTTTTCTAATTGTTGTAAGATAATGACGTTCAACATTTCTTCTTACCTAGAGTCTTTATGTTACAGATATGAGGAAAGCTCTGTCACGGGATGTAGAGAAAAAGTCCATGGTTCCGATTCCACATCCAGTTAGACCGGAGGAGTTGGATTGAACATAAGCCAGACGAATGACCATGGAGACATGTTTTGGTTTACCATAGTGGTATTATCGTCCTGTGTTCTCGCTCTCAGTTTTATGAGCATGCTGATGAAGTAACTGTCTTTTGGGGTTCAACACTTTGCTTCTGGAAACATGGACAGAGACTTAAGAAAACTGCCAATGAATTCGTAAAATATAGTTAAAGAAAGCAAACACAAGCAACACTTGTCTGTCTTTGTGTACCATGAGTACACAAATGAGCCAATTAAGAGGATTTTCAAAGTTTTCAGTCTGTTTAATAAATGTGAAATCTTGTTACTATCAGTCAAAAATCGGGACTGGAGCAATATGTATTCTTAAGAAAATCAAAAAAATTACATACAAAATAATAATTTTGAAAATCAAACAAACTTTCGTTATAACTGCAGCAAGTGCAGAAAATAAATTTCTTAATGTCTGCAACAACATGTTAAATACCAGTATTGTTGCTATGAAGCAAATCAATTGATTACTAAGGTGTGGACAGTCGAAAAAAAAATCTTTTCCATTGCAAGAAATCTTGTCTCGGTATTTTCAAAATTTTGGAAGTGCTTGAGAGACATGTACCATCTCCTGTTCATACTGGTGAGAGGATGTAAAGGATATTTTTTGTAAACATTATTAAAATGTGTGTTCAAGGTGACAGTACTCAACTGGAAACCTCATTGGGCATGTATCCATGGTTTTACGTCTGGCAACTGGAAACCTCATTGGGCATGTATCCATGGTTTTACGTCTGGCAACTGGAAAAGCTGGCTTTGTTTTTGAAAAATAAAGCAACAAATTATTTAATAAAATAACAAAAAGGAATTAATGTTTAGTTTATTGCAGTATGTGGATAACTATGTACACAAGTTATTTCTGATAAGAGAACACCTTCAGAATGATTTGATGGCTGTCAGCATAGCAACAGCATAGCAACACTATAGCAACAGCTTTGCATGACTTAACTGTGGAACAACTAAACTATTAAAAGAAAGCATCGATTTCACAGACAAGATGAATGATTTTGATAACATCATCATCACGTCAGCTAATTTGGGAAAGGTATGAATAAACCATATGTTAAAGTTTCATCTGTATATTTTGAAGTTAATTAATAATAAGAAAGGACCATATGAACAAGTTATCAAACAGTTTTTTTGTTAATATTTATCATGGCAACTGTGTCATGCTGATATGATGATGTTAGGTCATGGTCTACATACGCATTAACTTGCTTGCTATTGATCAGAAAACCATTCTGACTAAATATGAACATAGATTGTTACCTGGACAAAATAAGATGATAACGACCACAACAGACACCAATTAGACATCAAACAAAACAAAAAAAAATCCTGTAGTGTGTTCCAGAAATCTGACTGAAGTTGCGTAATTACAAAGTCAGTACTCCCACGCTGATCAATGACTACATGCAATTATTGTGTATGTCCTTTAAGATAATAGTTTTGGGTGGTACAATGTACCAGGATAATACATTTAATTGATTCAGTAGCCTTTTAAACACTATCATTATAACATGATCACAAGTACCTAAACCCACTGCATAATGAAAACTAAAATCTAGATAGCTGTAGAGAAACTGAGACGGCCATTATCGGCTGATATTTCTAATTTATGACGTATTTTTCTCATTATTTTATCTGCACTATTAAACAACACCTACACTTACCTTTAAGGAAATATTATGCATTGTCAAGCTGACAAGGCTGCAGAAATATGACATATTTTCTCATGGTTTTATCTGCACTATTAAACAACACCTACACTTATCTTTATTAGAGAATATTTTGTATTGTCAAGCTGACAAGGCATCTTTAGAATTTCTTTTTAAACATGCATATTATAGCAAAATCAGAACAAACATATAGGAAACGAAGGCAAAGTATCAATATTCATGAAATGATGGCAAAATTCATGCAGAGATCATTAAAAAAAGTGCAAATGTTAAAAGACCAGGTGTTCCTGAAGTACCGGTCTTCTGCTTCACCGCCAATAGCAGCCAGGCAAATCTAGATAAATTTAGAAAATTAATGGCACATTCTCAAGCAAGAAGAAGGATAGCAGCAAGAATGACTCTCAAAACTGAAATTTGAGGGTGACAATAATTGGCCGCCTGAAAAGTTTTCCTTGATAGGCCTGGAACCCACTAAATATAGTCAACAGACACACTTCTGTCTACTTTTTCACCAGATTTGGCTTTCCTGTTCTACTTGTTTGACTTGATGGAGTTTAAGACCTGATCTTGTCCTTGTCAATCATGAGGTGCAAACCACAATGTATATCACATCAGATTTAATGGATACACTGAAAACACACAGCTTTTAGCATTTTAGAAAGAAAGGTCTTAGATAATAGATTTATCTCTCTTTCCAACATACCCAAGCACAATTAAGTATGTAAGATATAAAATGATAGTTTGTTGACATTCCCACCTCAGTTCAATTACTTGTTTTCATGTTTATTTTTTTGACAATTTAATGTGTATTTGATACCTGGTAAAACAATATTTCTGTGCATACTTATTCTTAGCCATATATTGTATTGTGGCCACCTATGTAAAAAACGAGTAAGTTATTTGGGTGGATATATATTTATAACAGTCATCGATCATTTTTGCACAGATAGTTTTTTTATTGAAACAAAATTATGTAAATATATACCACCAGGACAAAAAACTGTTAAAAGTTGACCGAAAATAAATCAACATCCTGAATTTATTTCAGTAACATTATTTTGATATTCAAAATATCAACTTAAACATGTATCATTGTACTGAAACGTCATTGGTAGGGAACCCCACTATGCTTTCCCAGGATTTTTTTTTTTTTTTTTAAAGTTGGCCGAGGTAACTTTACCCCATTACCCTCATTTTTCATTAATTTCTTACCTAAATTCTGTTTATGAATTTCTTTAAATTTCAATTATATGTGTATATCAATTTACAACTGAATACTGGAGTGGCGTATGAAGGGTCAAAGTCCATCAGAGGATGGTTACAACACACCATTACCATGGCAATCACGTTCTGTAGTTCGTAATCCACGAAGGTTCATCATTGGGTAGAGCACAGCAGGACCAGTTGGCTTTCTTTCAAAAGCTCTTGCTCCAAATCATCCATGAAAGTGAAAAACGTTCACGCTCAAACAATCTTGCATAGCGATGTGATCTTTGAAAATTCAACAAAATGTAAGTGATAGACGCGGTCCCCCTTCTCCTGCCTGGTTTGGGAAGGACAAGCATTGACGCACGAAAGTTATTCAGGTCGTCTGCACCTTCGCTGCCGGTGTTTCACATTGGAAGACGGACTGCAGTTCCGAAGTTTACCGACCGTGACAGACGATAATTATACATTTTAGTTTTTTCCGCATTCTTGTTTTTATGTGATATTTTGTATTTTTATGAAGAATGTCGAAATTCCTGTGTTTTATCCGTCTGTTGTTAACCAGTTTAATAAAATCTAATACTGAACCAGGACAATAATTCTCGTCACGGATTTCGTGATGTCTTAGTCTAACATGTAAGTTATTTAAAATCAGTGTGTTCCTTTTCTTTCTTAATTCACCATGCTTTCTTGTCAATCATCAGTTTTACCCCGCACTTAAAATAAATTTTAAGTGCGTTGTTTTATTAAACGATGAGGTGATTCAAAATAGTTTTTCTATTCTGAATTATCTTCGTTTTCGTCTTGTGAAATTGTTTTATCATTTTCAAGATATATATATATATGAATGATTATTAATGCAGATGGATATGAAAGTATGACGTCTCACAGTTCAGTATACCCAATTAGTCGGTATCCGTTTTAATGTATTTCTTTCGGATGTTTGTTATTCTTCCAGAGTCATTGTTTGGATAACAAACCCGATATGATACAAAACACTTTCTGCTAGGTGTGGGTATATTTGTTTAACTTCCAATAAACTTTTGTGTTGTTGTAATACTGAAAACGTCCTCGTATCGCTACCTCGACAAGTTGGTGTCGAACTTTTTAATTTGAACTTAACTCGATTTTCTCTTGAAAGAAATATATTATTATAGACATGATAAATTACACAAGGTTTCGTAATCCTTGGTTTCGTTCTTTGAGGGGGTAAAAAAATGAGTCATCCCTGTCTCTTACTAAAATACGACGTGATTTTATTAGGATAGTGTAACACAGACTTAATATCGCATTTCTCCTTCAAATTCGACATATATTCTTGTAAAGCGGTCATAAATCACAGTCATTTATTTCAAGAGTCATCCGTCCAGGTTTTCAGAGAAAAAATTTTAAGTACAACTTCAAAATACCTTTTTAATTTCTGAACTATGTTATTACATTTTCTGAGAGAATCGATGTCAATGAGAGATTATTTTAGTTGTTTTCACTCGGGTATCACCTTATATAAAGATATGATTGTATTTTTTCAAGAAAACAAAAACATTCTGTCAAGATTGTCTTTTTCATTATTAGATAAATAATTTGGACAACAAGTCCCTTGGAAAAGGGTGAATAGAATTTCAAACAGCTTTAGCAGGAAATGTGTGTTACGTTTCAGCAACTCACACTCCGTCACCTCCATCAGACATGATCTAGGTTCACCGAGGTGTTAGGTGTGTAAGATGTCAATCAGATCGACAGGTCTTCTCGCCTAACGTTTAAGCGCATGAAAACGTTTCGTTAAAACCGTGTGCAAAAGGACTATCAGATTGTAAAATATCGACCAATTCGGTTACACTTCAAACATATAAGTGTTTGTTTGCAATGTATTAAATATCTTCTGAAAGTCAAATCGGCGAGAAAGTATATGGGACCCTTCATCTCGATTTAAAAATGGCCTAGTTAGCTAATTTAATTTGTCTTCAAGTATTCTTGGAGTATCATTAAGAATATTTCTTGCGGTTTCAGAACATTCTCCCATCCAGTTTGTCTTTAACAGAAAATACTGATGTGACTGTGATATAATTAGTTTAGATCTATACAGATTGCTGAAGGTTATGGTCGTCATACTGATCTCCTTGGTCAATATTTCATTGTGTGATTTTAAGGTGGATGCTTTTTATGCTCGTTAGTATGTCCGCTTGTTCCGTTGTTGCTTACCTTGTTTTTATTTTGGAAACGTGACCTTATTTGCTTGGATTCATCAAGACTTACATGTCGGATGTTGTGGATGAAGCAGAAGACGCTTACTCTTCTGAAACACTGGTCTTAAACTTCTTCATGGGTCTCCCTGTGAATCTTTCGTTTGTTAATATTGTTTCCTAGTTTAATCGACTTTTGAGTTTAAATGGAAACTGTTGACAAATCGGTATTTTCTTTTCTGTTGTAGTGAAGGTCATTGAATACGCATTTGGTATGATTAACTATCTACACGTGTCCCCTTCTGTCTAGGTCCCAGTCGTGAAGCATTCTAAAAACATGGAGAGAACTCTGATATTGCTGTTTCGTTAGTAAAGTTCGAAGTCATCTTTACCCCGATATACCCCGCACCTTACCTTTTTCTCTCCGGTAAGAATCATCGAGATGGTGGATATATTTATATTTTTTCAATACTTCAAATTTACTTGAGAAGACGAAAACTGTATCCTACATCCTTCCCAACTCTGTCAACGCACTTACTGAATCGTAGAGAATTTTCAGATTTTGATGACATTATTATAAAAGATTGTTTCTATAAGACTTATTGGTTACCTGTTCAAACCAAATACAAATCAAATTTAAAAAAAATACTTCCACTTTGTAACTGAGATGTTCCAAGTTGAACAGGAGTTTTTTTAACAGACATTTTGTAAGCTAACTCTGCTTTTAAGATCCTTGACCTAGTGGTT